AGTGTTCCCTACAACTGTTACATTGTATCTCTTGATGCAAAGATGTTTTTGGTTCCTATGATCCTTCGCTCCATCGAGTGGCCATAATGTACCACATTATGGCCACTCGATGGAGCGAAGGATCATAGGAACCAAAAACATCTTTGCATCAAGAGATAAAATAACATTTCTAGGGAACACTGGAGGGCTTTCACTATTGCCCTTAAAGTAGCACTAAAATAAGGAGTTAAGTCTTAAAAATACATTCAAGAACCTTAAAGTGACATTAAAGTATACATTTTTTCCCCTCCCCCCCAATGTTAGTGTCAGGACTTACCTTAAAGGAGAACTATGGGGTCAGTGCTTTTCCCTATAGTTCTCCTAAGGGTCAAACTAGCGTCCTCCTGTGACCCAAAGCTCAGTATATAGGGAGCTGTAGCTCGCGGTATACTGAGACGCCGCAGCTGAAGCAGATCCCGACAATTATGTCTGGATCCGCCCAGCTGCGTGAGTGACAGCTGGCTCCGCCTATCTAGAGGCAGAGCCAGCTGTACCCGCCCCCTCCCCCGTCCTTTCCGCCAGTCAGCGCTGGAGGATCGGACAGGGGAGGGGGTGGATACCTGCATGGAGCCGTGAGTGACAGTCGCCGCTCTCTGCAGGGACATGATCGAGAAGTGAGCGAGCGACGGTATGCGTTCGCTCACTTCCCGATCTATTGAGACGACCTGTGACAGTCTCATTGTCGCACGTCGGCTCGAACTACGAGGCTGAGTGATCTTCACTCACCTCATAGTTCTCCTTTAATTTGATAAAACAAGAATAAGATGAGAAATACTTTTTATCATTTAAAAATTGTATTTGTTGCTGTGGATCATTAATTGAGACCGAATTGCTGATCCGTTCCTTATGAATGTGCACCATGATCTCGAAGAGTTCCGGGTTAGCGTGTCCTCTCCATCTTGATCAAGGTCCGACCCTTCCTCATCGGCGCTCCACGTGCCGGCATCGCTCGGATTCCATGCTGTTTGAAATCTGCTGACCCAGATGTCCAGCTGGAGGAGAATTTCTTCCCGCCGAGTTTCCTGACAGCATTAAATCACCAATTAAGGGCTTTTCCTTCTGCGAGTTTAATTGACCTTGAAACTGTTTATCAGGATGAAAAGTTTTAGGCAGGACACATGAAATGTTTTTTTTGGAGCCGCGTCGGTCTGATGATGAAACTGGATAATGTTTTTTTATACACAAATGATCCTGGAATCAGCAAATATAATGAACGCTGTTACCTGATGGTCATGTGGTTGGAGGACATCCTTCCAAACGTTGCGTATTGCCTTACCATGTCAAATTAAGGGCAACACAGGAAAAGTTCCTCTTATATGGCCAAACTTTGCAGACCCCTGACCATCACACCTTTAGGAGCTTGTTGGACATCCCATTCAAAGCCATTTCCATTAACCTCTTGCCGTCCGCCCGTAGTAAAAAAACGGACGGACGGCACTGCTACATCTGCGGGTTGCCGTCTCCAGACGGCAATTTTTTTCTGCTCGCGCGCGCCCCCTAGCGGGCACGCACGGGCAGAAAAGACCCGCTAAATGCACACACCCGTTACCGGGTGTTTCACATATAGGCGATCGGCGGGTCCATAGCCCGCCGATCAGTCAACTGGTTAATAATAAGTTGGTCTCCATTTTTGGCTACAACATCCTTCACTCCTCTTGGGAGGCTTTCCGGAGGGTGTCTGTGGGACTTTGGACCCATTTTTGTAAGGTCAGGAACTGATGTTAGAGAAGACCTGGCTCACAATCAGCTTTCCAATTCATCCCAAAGGTGTTTACTAGAGTTGAGGTCAGAGCCCTGTGCAGGACACTGGTGTTCCTCAACACCAAACTCATCAAACCATATTGGATGAGAAGACCTGGCCCACAATCAATGTTCCAATTCATCCCAAAGGTGCTCAGTAGGGTTGAGGTCAGGGCTCTTTGCAGGACACTCGAGTTCCTCAACACCAAGCTCATCAAACCATATTGGATGAGAAGACCCGGCCCACAATCAGCGTTCCAATTCATCCCAAAGTGTTCAGTAGAGTTGAGGTCAGGGCCCTGTGCAGGACACTTGTGTTCCTCAGCACCAAGTTCATCAAACCATGTTGGATTAGAAGACCTGGCTCACAATCAACATTCCGATTACTTCCCAAAGGTGTTCAGTAGGGTTGAGGTCAGGGCTCTTTGCAGGACACTCAAGTTCCTCCATCAAACTCATCAAACCATGTCTTTATGGAACTGGCTTTGTACACTGGCCAAGGACAGTCATGGTGGAACAGAAAAGGTCCTTCACCAAACTATTACCACAAGGATAGAAGAGTGTCCTGCAAAGAGCCCTGACCTCAACCCTACTGAACACCTGTGTGATGAATTGGAACGTTGATTTTGGGCCAGGTCCTCTCATCCAATATGGTTTGATGAGTTTGGTGTTGAGGAACACGAGTGTTCCGCATAAGGCCCTAACCTCAACTCTACTGAACACTTTGGGATGAATCGGAACGTTGATTGTGGGCAGGTCTTCTCATGGTTTGATGAGTTTGGTGTTGAGGACAATTGTCTAAAATGTTTTTTGTATGATGTAGTATTAACAGAACCTTCACTGGAAACTCCTGAACTCAATCATTTCGAGGTGGGGCCACCATACATTTTGCCATATAGTGTATATCACTTTTTTCACTGGTCCAGAGCAGTTCAGCTTTGGCATGCAGAGCAGGAACTGTGGCCAGAAACCAATTTTTTGATGCAAGGGCCCATCCACACTGTTGCATTGCAACCATCGAGTACATGAAATGTGTTACTAATGTTAGTGACTTCATTTCAGGGAATTGGACTTGTTCCTCTGTTGAGTTGGAACGCTCCTTCACTAAAATTGGTTCCGGGGTGGAGAATCGGGGAAGAAGTCACAACCGAGACCCCCATTAGCCGCCGCTACCTCTTTGCTATCACTGGGAGACGAAGGCGTGGAGAATTTCCCTGTAATAAGCCGGCCGGCGCGGCGATAAGACAATAGCGCGCTCCCCTCTGGGATCTTCCCGCGTGAAATCTGGGCCGCTTTGATTAGGAGCCAAAATCGCGTCCTGTTAGAGCTCTTTAGTTCAGAGAAATTAGCAGTGAGGAATGGCTCGGCGCAGCTTTGAGCAGCCTCCGACAGCACGCCACGTAATCTCACAGTAATTAAACGCCGCGCATATTTACCGTCGCTCACAGAAAACTTCCGACACGCTGAAGCCCAAGCGGGGCTCGTTATCTCTGGTTACTAAAGAGCGCGTCCTTCCAGGGGGGGAGGGGGGTTTGCGTCACTTTGATGACTTTTTCTACTGTTCCTAATGAGAGTCTTCATACCGGAAAATGTATTTATCATATTTGTTATTTATTCATTTAGCGATTATCTTAAAGGAAAAGATCGCGAAAACGTCACCTCAGCTCTAAAATGGAAGTGTGTTTTAAATCTGCCGGCGATCCTGCCGTGAAGGGCCATAGTTTAGGCACTTCCTGCAGCAGCGCTTAGCGGCTGCCTCAAACTGAGGCTCCATTCACACATGAGCGGTTTTCCGTGCGTATTTGACCGTACGAATACGCGCAAAACCGCGCTAAACATAAAAAGCATTGCCATGTGCATTGTTCAGACTATTGCGGCAGCAATATAGTACAAGCACGATTGTATGGCCGGATTCCGCACGTTCCGGCTATAGTAATAGCGGCACACGTGTACGTTAGGATTTGCGCAGTTTCTTTCCGTGCCAATAAACCGCGCTGAAAACGCTACCGCTATGTGTGAATGGAACCTAAGGCTAGGTTCCCTGAGGCAATCTGTGACCGCGCACGAAACTGAGTGGTCACTGAGTCGCCCACCACAGCCGATCGCGCTGGCGGTGCAATTATTTTGTAATGGCACCCCAGTCGCACCCGGGCGGATCGCAGGGTTTCCCACCGCAATTCCGCCCGTGCAATTGAACACAATTGCGGCTAAAAGAAAAAGTGCTTTTGTGTGTCACAAAAAAAAAGGTACATGTTCCTTTTTTTTAGTGATTGCCGCGCGAATGTAATCCCATTGAAATCAGTGGGGCCGCTCAGATCTCAACCTATCCTAAGCCTTCAAGGGTGAGTCGTCTTCCTCGCGGCGCGGTCTGCTGTTGTCACCATCAGGAAGCCCGCCCTGAGATATGTCAGGTAACCATTGCTGGAGGGCAGGTAGACAGGAAGTGACTTAAAGGAGAACTATGGGGTCAGTGTTTTTCCAGATAGTTCTCCTCAGGGTCACGGGAGGACACAAACTAGCGTCCTCCCGTCACCCTAGGCTCAGTATATAGAGAACTACAGCTCGCGGTATACTGAGACCGCCACAGCTGGGACGGATCCCGACATTATTGTCGAGATCCACCGAGCTGCGTGACTGACAGCTGGCTCTGCCTATCTAGAGGCAGAGCCAACTGTACCCGCCCCCTCCCCCGTCCGTTCCGCCAGTCAGCACTGGCGGATGGGAGCGGGGAGGTGGGAATCCAGCCCCTCCCCGGTCACGGCAGAGAGCTGTGACCGGATCGAGAGGTGAGCGAACGCCGGTATGTGTTCGCTCACCTCCCGATCTACTGAGCCGACCTGTGACAGTCTCATTGTCACAGGTCGGCTAGAACTATGAGGGGGGTGAAAATCCCCCCCCCCCCCCTCCCTCATACTTCTCCTTTAAGAAGATCAGCAGACCTGAGAGGAAACAAAGGATTTTAAAGGAATGAAAACAATTATTTTATATTTATATTTATTTTTTGCATAAAAAAACGTTACTCTGGCTCCAGCATGTTTCTTGGGGTGGGAAAGGACTAGACCCTCTGTCACGTTTTAGTTGCATGGCGGAGGCCCCCTAGTACCCGGCCGCTGTGCTCACCTCTGGTTGCTTTGTTGGGTGATAGGATTATTGTGCGTTATGTCCGGACTTCTCTGCGTCCTCCCCGAATATTAATGTGTTTTCTCTTCTCTCTCTTGCAGCGTGTTTCTGCACTATTGCTACACCCGCGGAGGAATGCGGCACACATCGTACACCTGCATCTGCGGCACGTAAGTAATGAAAACCTATGGGGCAAGACAACCTCTGGTCTAGTTAAAGAGGACCTGTCAGTAACTGTATGAAAAAATCACCGACATGTCACAATGTACAGCAACAGGATCATTTTCCAGAAAAGCTCCGCCTCTTATTACAAGCCATCTGTGAGCTCCAGACAGTGACCGTGCCCAGGCTGAGGTGATGTCATCAGTCGGCTGCAGGCAGGAGGAAGCATTTCCTCAGTCTCCCCTCTCCCTGTGTGGGCCGAGGTCAGATATAAGGCTGAAGGGGAGGACGGAGGTCAGATAGAAGACTGAAGGGAAGGACGGAGGTCAGATAGAAGACTGAAGGGAAGGACGGAGGTCAGATAGAAGACTGAAGGGAAGGACGGAGGTCAGATAGAAGACTGAAGGGGAGGACGGAGGTCAGATATGAGACTGAAGGGAAGAAGGAAGGTCAGATATAAGGCTGAAGGGGAGGACAGAGGATAGGTAGAAGACTGAAGGGAAGGACGGAGGTCAGATATGAGATTGAAGGGAAGGAGGAAGGTCAGATAGAAGACTGAAGGGGAGGTCAGATATGAGATTGAAGGGAAGGAGGAAGGTCAGAAGACTGAAGGGGAGGACAGAGGTCAGATAGAAGGCTGAAGGGGAGGACGGAGGTCAGCTAGGAGACTGAAGGGAAGGATGGAGGTCAGATAGGAGACTGAAGAGAAGGATGGAGGTCAGATAGAAGACTGAAGGGGAGGTCAGATATGAGATTGAAGGGAAGGAGGAAGGTCAGAAGACTGAAGGGGAGGACAGAGGTCAGATAGGAGACTGAAGGGAAGGAGGAAGGGCAGAAATCAGGCTGAAGGGGAGGACGGAGGTCAGATATGAGACTGAAGGGAAGAAGGAAGGTCAGATATAAGGCTGAAGGGGAGGACGGAGGTTAGGTAGAAGACTGAAGGGGAGGACAGAGGTCAGATAGGAGACTGAAGGGAAGGATGGAGGTCAGATAGGAGACTGAAGGGAAGGATGGAGGTCAGATAGAAGACTGAAGGGGGGGTCGGAGGTCAGATAGAAGACTGAAGGGAAGGATGGAGGTCAGATAGGAGACTGAAGGGAAGGATGGAGGTCAGATAGGAGACTGAAGGGGAGGACAGAGGTCAGATAGGAGACTGAAGGGAAGGATGGAGGTCAGATAGGAGACTGAAGGGAAGGATGGAGGTCAGATATAACACACCAGTCTCTTTATTGCACATAGTAGATATGAGGAATCTTTGTACCCTCGTCTCTTGATGACGGATACAAATGGCGCGGCTAGCTCGCGGCACACACACAGCTGCCGGGGGAGTCGGCTCGGAGAAGGAAGATTGGCGTCTCTGACATTTCCGCGAGATAAACAAATTAGAGTTTATTCCGAGGGGTTAAAGTACAAAGAGGATTTGATTCAGCGAGGACGCCGGTGACTTTGTTTTTTACCGGTGATCTCTTCCTGATTAAAAAGAAGGACGTCGCTGTGAAGGTAAATATCAGACGTTATTATCTCCTGCTGTGCCGTGAGGACCCGACTCTGGAAAGAGAACCTGTCATCGAAATTGACACTTCGCATAGATCAATTACCAAATTGCTTTATTGTTTTCAGTAATAAGATCATGCATAGCTCCCTTAGCACAGGCTGCCTAGGTTACAGGGTCAGTTTCTACCAGGAGCCCTGTGAGTACTTCATGTCATTAGGGAATGTTGGACCATTTGTGAGGTCAGGTACTGATGTTGGGGGAGGGGCTCGCATTCTCCGCTCTCATTCATCCCAAAGGTGTTCTATGGGGTTGAGGTCAGGACTCTGTGCGGCCAATCATGTTCCTCCACCCCAAACTCCCCCCTCCATGTCTTTATGGACCTTGCTTTGTGCACTGGTGCGCAGTCATGTTGGAACAGGAAGGGGACGTCCCCAAACTCCTCCCACAAAGTTGGGAGCAATAGAGATAAATAGATTTTTTTGTTCTGCTCCGGGGTTCCATGTCCTGTGGCGCCTTCTATGATTGCAGTCCTGGCTCTCTGTCATATGAATGTCTAGTAGGCCCCTCATCACGTGTCCCTGTAAAGGTCATACATGTGAATATGACGGCAGTGTGACACTTCCGATGATCCTGATTACTTCTCCTGGTAGAAGATTGAACTCGGCGAGGACGGCCGGTGTTCTGCGACTAGGACATAGACGTCTTGCCGGCAGCTTGGTGAGCTTGTCAGGTATGAGTTGGGCTCCTCAGGGACGGGTCATCAAGAGCTCCACTGACCTTTCCTTTTGTGATGATCAAACACTCGGAGAGCCCCCCAGGGGGCCCGGGCCTGGATCACGGCGGTCCGCGGCCGGCTCCCGGAGGAGGACAACTTTGCTTCTCTTCACTGGCTCGGAAACGGGAGCGGAGAAGAACATTAGAGGGCGGAAGGCTTTTATCTTGGGAGCTTCTGCGCTCCTCCGTCCTCGTCATTCCTAACACGAAGAGAAGGGCGCGCTGAGAATTCGCCTTCCGAAGCCTCTGAACTCTCCACATTATTACTGATCACCGGCGCCGTGGTTACTGAAGCTGAGGCCGTACTTTGCTTCTCTGGTTCTTCCTGGATTCTCCTTTTTTGGGGGGACTCTGGTAGCCATGGAAACGGAGACTTCAGGTTTTCTGTATTTTCAGTTCAGATATTTGGAGAAAGTTCCACATTCAAAACGCTTCTTTGGGGCGTATTTTTGTCGCGCGTATCCATTGGGATTCAGCCGGATAGCCCTCGGAAACGCGCGTTTGTATCGTGTTTTTTGTACTGCGAATCGCGGTACAAACGTGCATATGCGATACGCCTAGATGTGAACCCAGCCTAACACTTACAGGTCTTGCCCCTCCCCCTGCCTGTGACTGGACAGTGAAGGAGTAGCAGCAGACTGATAAGCTCATCTCTCTGTCACTCTGGTCTCTTCTTCTATCAGCATACCCTTGCAGCCCAGCTGACTGACTTCTTGCGCTGCTTCTTGTTCTTCCACTCTGAGCTCTGATGCACAGGGGCTGCAATAGGCTGATACCAGGCCACATTCAGCTGCTTATATTTTAAACAAAATAATACATTTATTAATCTATAATGTATTAATACAAATATTATGTATCAATATATAATATAGTTGTATTCATTTGTATCTATAGCTGCCTGGAGTTCAGCTTTAAAGTAGATCTCCAGGATTTGGATAGATTGGGGAACGGGTCAGAACTTCTGATTTATTTTTTTTTGGGGGGTTGGCTGTATTCACTTAATTACCACCATTCTCGTACGAGTATCGTGCAGTGTATGGGCACCTTAAGAGGGGAGTTCTCTAAGTTTGGGAAGATCTCTGATAACTTCCTCTCTTGATTCTCAGACAGGAAGGGAGGTAAAACCTTCCCCCAAAGGAGACAGACTACAACAAATCTGACAGGGTTTCCAACCTTTCTTATTCTAATCAAAACTAAAATATGATAATAATAATAATAATGTATAATATTTGTATATTTATAATAAAATCTATTAAAATCAAATAATACAAATAATAATGATGATGATAATAATAATAATGTTGCAATCACCAATATGAATCACTCTACCAAAATCAACTGTTTTTAAATGCCTAAATGACCTAGACCGGGCCATCATACATTGACCGCACCACACCCCGATAAACATATCATATCAAACATATCACCCCGATTAAACAAATACCGAGTATATAACTCCGGCGGTAAGCACGGTCCAGGCATAGGAATACTTTGTACAATGCCGTAGAATATGTTTGCTTTATATAAGTTATTGGTAATAATAACGTTGCCCTCCCTCCTTTGTTTCCATTGCACAGCGGTGACAACTCTTCCATCCTTCACTATGGACACGCCGGAGCTCCCAATGACAAGTCCATTGAAGACGGCGACATGTGGTGAGTTTTTGGTGCCGCGTGATCGCTTCATTACCATAAATGTTTGTTTCGATTTTTTTTTTCAATTTCTTGTATTCTCTGTCGGTCTCTTCCCATTGGCAGCTCGGCTATAAACACCGACCAAGATTTTATGTTTAACATTTTGCAGCAAATACAGAAACCGGGACTTTTAATGTGTTATATAGATTCAGATTCCTTTTTAAAATGCACATCAATTTATTGTGATAAAACATAAAATCATAATCCTACATAAAGATCCCACACCTCCCCCGCCTTCTTATTGATCTCATACACTGAGTGGCCGGATTATTATATACAGAGTGGCCGGATTATTATATACAGAGTGGCCGGATTATTATATACAGAGTGGCCGGATTATTATATACAGAGTGGCCGGATTATTATATACAGAGTGGCCGGATTATTATATACAGAGTGGCCGGATTATTATATACAGA